TTGTAGATGTCAAACGCGAACAATGCTGCTGCTAGCTCGTTCACATTGATGAGCCTTTGCCAAAAGGTGACTTTCGATGGAACGAACTTTAGCGAATGGATAAGATACATTCGCACGATCGCTCACTACGAGGACAAGGAGTATGTCCTCGATGAGAAGCTCGAGAAGATCAATCCTGAAATCGCTACTCCGGCTGAAATCACCACTTTTGAAACTCATGAGTGTGATGCAACGAAGGTTCATTGCATCATGATAGCCACTATGAACTCCGAATTCCAAAAGTCCTACGAGGACATGTATCCGTACGAAATGCACCAAGACTTGTTGGAGAGATACCACCAAAACGCGAGGCAAGAACGTTACGAGATCTTCAATAACATGATTTCCGCTAAGATGGGTCATGGTGAATCTCTAACCGTGCACCTGCAAAAGATGCAAAGGTATGTCGATTGTCTTTGCAAGTTGAATGTTGACTTTGGGGAAGACTTGGCAATCGACATGGTGCTTCACTCATTGCTTCCGTGTTACAACCAATTTAGGATGACTTACCACATGAACCAAGAAGAGGTCATTCTAAGTAAGCTCCAAGGTATCCTTAGGGTTGCTGAGAGCAATCTCAAGTACAAGTCCGTTGCACCCACTCCCAATCCACCCGCTGCTCCTGTTTTGGCCATTGGGCAAGGAAGAGGCAAGAAGAGGAAGGCTCCGTCTAGGATCCACCACATGGGAAAGTCCCAAGATGGTTCCTCCTCTAGTGGGACCAAAGTTGATCCCGCTAACCCTACTTCTAACCTAAAGGAGGCAGAGTGCCACCATTGCCACAAAATAGGGCATTGGAAGAAAAGCTGCCCAGAGTACCTGGAAGCCATCAAGGAAGGAAAGATCAAGCCGTCTTTCGCAGGTATATATACAATTAAATCTAATGATTCATTTAATTCTATTTCTTGGGTCCTCGATACCGGGTGTGGTTACCACATTTGTTCTGAATTGTAGGGACTAAGAAGAAATAGGGATGTGGAGCATGGAAGAATAAATCTAACCATGGGGAACAGAAGATCGTCGCCTGTGACCAAGATTGGAGTGTATTCTCTAGTGCTTAGGAATGGTTTATGTTTAGATTTGAGCAATTGTTGTTATTCGCCAGAAATGGCAAGAAACATCATTTCATTTCATGGTTTGTTTAGACAAGGATTTAGATTTTCTTTTAATAATGAGAATGGTTCTATTTGTGCTTATCTAAATGGTGTCTTGTATTTTGAAGCAATACCATGTAATGGAATTTATGAAACTGTTATGATTGTAGATAACCTAGGAAATGATGTTTTATGCATGGATTCTTCCAATAGTATGGATAGAGCATCCTTGTGGCATTGTCATCTTGTAGATGTCAACAAGAAGCGCATAGCCCAACTCCAAAAGGATGGAGTGTTGGAGTCATTCGACCTTAGGGAAGATGACACGTGCGAATCTTGTTTACTTGGAAAGATGACTAAGTCACCCTTCACTAGCACATGTGAATGGGGTGAAGGTTTATTGGACCTAATACATACCGATGTATGTGGACCGTTTATATCAACCACAAAGTATGGGAACCGCTTCTATGTGACTTTTACCGATGACTATAGTAGATATGGGTATATCTACTTAATCAAGCAAAAGTCATAAACATTTGAAAAGTTCAAAGAGTTCAAGAATGAAGTGGAGAATCAATTAGGCAGGAAAATCAAGATGCTTCGATCCGATCGAGGAGGAGAGTACCTAAGTCTTGAATTCCACGACTATCTAAAAGAGTGTGGAATAGTTTCACAATTGACACCACCTGGGACACCACAATTGAATGGTGTGGCAGAACGGCATAATCGAACCTTGTTAGACATGGTGCGCTCTATGATGAGTCGTGCTTCACTATCTATCTCATTCTGGGGGTATGCCTTAGAGACTGCCACCCATATCCTTAACCGAGTCCCTACTAAGAAGGTTGCCAAAACACCTCACGAGATGTGGACAGGGAAAGCTCCCTCGTTAGCACATATCAAGGTTTGGGGTTGCGAGGCTTTCGTAAGATGAGATACTCACGACAAACTCGAACCTCGTAGTGAGCGATGTATTTTCATCGGCTACCCGCAGAAATCCTTTGGATATCTCTTCTATAGACCGAAGGACAATGTTGTCATTGTTGCGAGGAGAGGAGTTTTCTGAGAGCGAGAACTCATAAGTCATGGAAACAGTGGGAGGCAAATCGAGCTTGAAAAGATTCAAGAGTCGATAGATGAAGGAACCTCTACCGCCGGCCCTCAACCCGAGGAGGAAACTCCGGTTGAACCAATTGACGAGTCCTTACCTCTTAGACGTTCCGAAAGAGTTAGAGTTCAACCCCAGTTATATGGTTTTCATATTACTACCAAAGGGGACACGTATATAAGTGATAGTACACTAATAAATCTAGATGAACCTAATAGCTATAAGGAAGCCATGGCAGGCCCAGAGTCTGCAAAATGGAAAGAGGCTATGGACAGCGAGATCCAGTCCTTGTATGACAACCAAGTTTGGAATTTGGTTGATAACGTAGCCGGACGTAAGACCGTTGGGTGCAAATGGATCTTCAAGAAGAAGACCGACGTGGATGGAAATGTACACACATATAAGGCGTGATTGGTTGCGAAGGGTTTTACTCAAACTCCCAGAGTTGAATATGATGAGACCTTCTCACCAGTTGCGAAGATAAAATCTATTAGAGTGATGCTAGCGATTGCCGCATTTCATGATTATGAGATTTGGCAAATGAATGTCAAAACCGCTTTCCTTAATGGAAAGTTGGCTGAGGATGTTTACATGGCTCAGCCAGAGGGTTTTGTTGATCCAAAGCATCCAAATAGAGTGCGTAAGCTTAAGAAGTCCATTTATGGACTTAAGCAAGCGTCTCGGAGATTGAATCTTTGCTTCGATGAGAAAGTCAAAGAGTTTGGATTTGTACGAAGTGAAGATGGATCATGTGTATATGTCAAAGCCAGTGGGAGTATAGTTAGCTTTCTCGTTTTGTATATCGATGACATACTGCTCATAGGAAACGACATCCCGACACTGCAGGAGATTAAGTCCTGGCTCGGGAAGTGCTTCGCTATGAAGGACCTCGGAGAGGCTTCCTATATTCTGGGAATAAGGATAGTGAGAGAACGAAGTAAGAGACTAATAGAACTTAGTCAGAACACTTACTTAGATAAAGTACTAAAACGTTTTAGTATGGAAAACTCGAAGAAGGGAGAATTACCGATACAATATAATGCCAAGTTGAGTAAGACTCAAAGTCCGAGTACCGAAGCCGAAATAGCAGTAATGAGCCGACACTACTAGAAAAACAGCCTTTTACGACGTGCAAAACACGACGCTCTTTGATTTATGTTACGCATTAGAGAGTGACATTAAAAAAGTATCATCTCTTCAAAAAATTTAAGGATAGTGGACACGCATTTGTGCGTGCCCTGAAATAAGTGTTAGAAAAGAAAAAAAAAATACAAACACGGAGGGCGCTTATCTTAAACGTGTGACCTCTTCAAATGTCGCTTTATATTTTTGCTTAAACGCGCGTTTTTAAAGGGGGAAAACGAAATCGTGAAATTCTAAAATTTTGAAGAATCCCGCTTCTACCCTCTCTCATCAATATAACCCTTCATTCACTCCTTCCTTCTCTCTGTAAACCCTAATCGCCACCGCCACCTCCACCACCATTGAACCTTAAAATCTGAATCCAGACTTCACTTTAATTCATTCAATCCAGCCCTTAAATTTTAGCAAACCCACCAGAACCCTAAGTCATGCCTTTTATGCTTTCACATCCTTCCTTCCATAGTCCCGCCTCTATCGCATCGCTCTGCTCACCGTCGTCGTCTTAGGCTCTTACGCCTCCATCGTGGTCTTTGTGCTCATCATATCATCATACATGCCATTTATTCTCGTTGTTCTTCTCCTTAACCCTACGCAGGTAAATATCATCAGTACTCCCTCTTATCGTCGTTCTGCTCCTTGACCCTACGCAGAGCGTGGCTATTACCTTCTTGTCCAACGACCCATCAACCCAAATCCTGACATGGCTATCCTATGGCGATTCACCACCCAATGCCGACGACTATGGCGACGATTGGAATTCAAGCTTTTGACCTAATACACTTGATCTGAGAACGACAAGGAAGATTCGATGAATTCAATCAGACGGTCAATTGTTCACTTCTCGAGGTGTGTTACAATCTCTATCTTTTATTAGTTTTGTTTGTAGATTTTGGTATGATGCTAGTTTCTTCAATCCCTTAGAGACATGGCTTTTAACATGTCATCATCATAATTGGATCTGGATCAGTAAACAATAGAGTACATGAAATTGAAATTGAAATTCGTATTATCAAGCTGAATGGATATCGATTTGACTCCAAATTGGAGTCAATCGAAGGATTATTTGGTAATCTGCTCATTCTTTTATTTTCAACAGAGACGAGTTTTGTTGAAGAGACTGATGCCTGCTGCTTTTTAGATTCACTTCCATTTTTCTTTCAGTTTACAACATCTTTTATATGTGAGGTGATATTGCCACGACTCTTTTTTTTAATCCACGGATTTTAAACCATATTGACTATTTCGCCTCTCATTTATATTGCCTTCTCCGTCTCTCACTCTTCCACCTAAATAGCTATCTTCCTTTTTTGTACAAACCATCTAAAATGGGGAATTGGAACGGTATAGCCTATTACTAGAAATGCATTAGGAAAAGAGCATATTTAGGTGAAAATGATGGTCACAGGTGATAGGATTCTGTTGGAGATTGTGGTTCAAGGGGATCTCTAGCACTGTGAGATGAGGAATGAGTTCATTTGGTGTAATGGTTTATCAAAAATGAAGCATATGCATCCTTTGAATAAATTAATTGCATTCTAAAGATAGATGATGAAGGGCATAAGTAAACCCCTGCTCTTCTTAACCCACTCACTGGCTTGCCTAAGTAAACAAACAAGCGCATTCATTGTTGACCTGTTTATTTCCCATGTATTTTCTCCATTTTCTTTATGTTTTTTGTTTTTTTTTTCCTGGAGTTGGAGCATGTTAGAATGAGAAATACCTAAAAAGAATTTCGGATTATGTACCCATGATATGCTCAATAAATTGAATCTTTTTTTCAGTAAATCAAAGATAATTACTGTACGATATATTTGCATTGAAATTGTTTTAAGGGATTTAATAATAATAATAATAATATGCACGAGTATTTCATGTGTTTCCTTCCAGCTTTATTGACCCACTGAAAATGATCCATCTTGGTGATTGGTCGTGTAACAGCTAGGTATTGGCAAGCGACTGATCTTTTTTGTTCCAAAAGGTTATGAGAAAAGAGTCCATGATGATCTATAAACCAAAACGTTTAGTTTTAAAAATAGTGGTTGCTTGGGTATAAAAGAAATTTAGCAATTAAAAAGCTTTTGAAATGCATATGGTATATGGCAAAGGGTGAACCTGGTTTAAATGTGCTGCGACACAGGGGATGATTAGTAATCCTGGTTCACCAAATGTACCACCAAGTTGATCCACCACCGCAACCAGCACTGGCAAAGCTTTCTACAAAAATCTCACCCTCACACCAGATTAAGATTTTAAGGATAATATCTCCAACACCAAAAAATAGGTTCTACAATAATAATAATAATACTAATAATAATAATAATAATAATAATAATAATAATAATAATAATAATAATAATAATAATAATAATAATAATAATAATAATAAACAGAAAAGTTGATTAGTGGATAACTTAATTTGTTACCTGACTTGCAATAAGTAAGAGGGCAGTAGAATTTTTCTTTTTTGCAAAGATTGATTTGCTACCACCAGATACATCACATAGGCAATGAATTGATGTGGCATTGAAACCTAATAGTATCAGGTGAAGCAGCCTGCAGTATATATATACACGATATTAAATGAAATAACAAAATATCATCTCAACAATGTATGTGATTCAGAAGAAAGACCATACGCTCCCATCATCACAGCTACAAGAAAAGCTTCAGGCTTAACCATCATGTAACAAACAGATGCAATCCACATTAATTCTTTGGATGAGAAACAAAAAAAAGTAAGAAGCATAGGGTAAGGTAACCATCAATCCATGATTCTGAAATCTTTATGTTGTTGAGATGTATTATCGATATAGTTTGAGAAGCATCACAAAATTTTCTCGTTTTTAGCAAATGCCCCTGTTTCATATGTGGGGGGAAAATTGCTTTGGTTCTAAGAAAAGGCATGATATTTACACAGAATGACTAAAAACTGTGATATTGTATGGGCCTTAAAAAGTGACAATAAAATGTGTTACCTTCCCCAAAATCAAGGGTATCAAAAGTGTGATTATAAGTCTTCTGAACAATTGCTCAGTTGGAACAGATGCCCCAAGTCCAGAAGCTATTAGTTTTGATATAGAAAAAGGCACCTGCAAAGATGCAGCCACTAATCACATGAAAACTCAGATTGATTATTTTCTCTAATATGCAAGATTAGAGACAAGAATCACTTCTAAATGTAGTGAACTTTTGTTTTTAAATGTTTTTAGAGATGCAGGTAACATCAAGTGTAGATAGTCAAGTATTTTGTCAATTACTAGAAATGCATTAGGAAAAGAGCATATTTAGGTGAAAATGATGGTCACAGGTGATAGGATTCTGTTGGAGATTGTGGTTCAAGGGGATCTCTAGCACTGTGAGATGAGGAATGAGTTCATTTGGTGTAATGGTTTATCAAAAATGAAGCGTATGCATCCTTTGAATAAATTAATTGCATTCTAAAGATAGATGATGAAGGGCATAACTGTCAATTTACTTTAAAAATCCATGGATGTATAAAAAGATGTGGAATTATCAGCTCCCCTTATATATATATATATATATATATATATATATATATATATATATATATATATATATATTAGAATTTCTTTTTATCATAGCATTGTAAATAATAAATATACAATCTTTTTATGTACATACATTCCAGGTCTTGTCTGAGTACCTCCAACTTCTGGATAGCTTATCAGTGCTATCAGCTATACAAGAGATGAGTCGTGGTGTGGAGGTAAGATTACTAAGATACCCTTCATATACATTCATCATTATCCTATATTACTTTGCCAGCTGGACATATACGTGTACATCATCTATACTGATACAGTCATCACAAACGTACATTACAGATATGGCTGGGAAGAACTCTACAGAAGTTGGACTCACTTTTATTGGGTAGGATGTTGAACACAACAGGGGAGGATGTTGAAGACAACCCTATGGCTGTTGAAGTTGATAAATCTGATATTTTTGGTCTTACATGGATGAAAGTTCCATGGACTAATCAGCTTGCTTTTAGAATCAAAGATGGTTTGAAGTACAAGTTCATTGGTTTTCGTGATCAGGTAGCTTTTCATGGTGATTCATGCATGTATCTTTATTACATATCAAACATCTTTTTCCTTATCATAGTGTTCTATTTTATTATATTACAGGATGTTATTAGCCTGACCAACTTTATCCAGAACTCCTGTGGGTTAACAACAGAAGAGAAACAACTTTCTATTAGTGGGAAAAACTGGGGAAAAGTTGATTTAAATGGTTGAGACCTTTATCCTTATCTTGTTTTGTAAAATCTCCAAATTAGTATATTGTGGAGCAACACACATTTAGTAATATTGAGATGTAAATGAAACTAGTTAACATGTTATTCATACTAGTATCTTCCTTTCTGAAACTTTTCAGGCAATATGCTGTCTTTTCTTGTTGGTTCAAAGCAAGCATTTGAAGTCTCCTTAGCTGATGTCTCCCAAACACAGCTACAAGGAAAGAATGATGTCATATTGGAATTCCATGTGGATGACACAACTGGTGCAAATGAGGTTCCTCTTTGTTAATTACTTTCAAATTTCTTCCTCATGGTATATGACAGTTTTGATTTTTAACTATCTTTTTTTTTCTTTTTAATTTGATGCAGAAAGATTCTTTGATGGAGATAAGTTTTCAATTGAAGCCTTCTTATGTTTTTTCCTCTCATCTATCTTTTAATGTTGTTCAGATTGTAACTAATCTTTGCAAATTGATACATACCATGTTATGAAAACTGAAATGTTTATAACCAATTCATGTTGAAACTGGTAATTTATTTTCCAATCTAATCTTCTCATTCCTTTACTCCATCTCCCTACAACTTTCTAACATGCTTTCTGAACAATCCAGAATCCAGGTCAACTTAAAGTTCATCCAGGTGGTATATTATGGAAGAAACAAGGAGGTGGTAAGGCTGTTGAAGTTGATAAATCTGATATTTCTGGTCTTACATGGATGAAAGTTCCACGGACTAATCAGCTTGCTGTTAGAATCAAAGATGGTTTGAAGTACAAGTTCACTGGTTTTCGTGATCAGGTAGCTTTTCATGTTGATTCATGCATGTATCTTTATTACATATCAGACATCTTTGTCCTTATCAAGTTATCATAGTGTTCTATTTTATTATGTTGCAGGATGTTATTAGCCTGACCAACTTTTTCCAGAACTCCTGTGGGTTAACAATAGAAGAGAAACAGCCCATGACTTTTTATGATGATATCACAACAATCCTGAGCAGTATCAATCTTAATGGATCCATACAACCCATGAGTTTTTCTGATGATATCACAACAATCTAAGAACACTTGATATTTTACAGGGTATTGTTCTTGATTCTTATACTCAATAAAAAAAGAATTTCATATGATAAAAGATTACATTGATCTGTCAATGAATCAACTTATTGGAAATATTCCCTTCTCATATGAGTTTTCTTGCCCTAGGCTATTATGAAGAAACTAGTGGAACTTAGTGGACAGGGAATGACAAGATGAGCCACATCTGGATAGTTGTCGGTGTCAGCTTGGAGCATCTAGAAGGAAAAACACTTCTAGGTATGCTGACCTTGAATGACGCTTGAGCCCCTATCTTTAATCTTGTTTTGTGTTTTGAACCAGGGTTAGAAAGTTATAATAGAAACTAACTTGTCGTTTTTGATAGTTTTGAAGTTTAGACTAGAAGTTAATAAAGGTCATGTGAATAACCTTCAAACAAAACAAATGAAATTTCTTCTGTTTATTTTTTAGTTAATTTGGTAGCTTACTAATTGGGGAAATACTCAAATAACATGATGCCAACGTATGATATATATTTTTATAGGAAAATGAACCATTTATGCTATTATTGAGGGTCATATTTTGTCATTTGTAGATAAAATGTCATTATTTATTTAAATATTATGTTTCTACATGTTTATAGGTAATTCAAAGAAAATTAGTAACTGTGCTTACACTATCCACCTTGATCAATGGCAACATTGGGCCTTGATCAATGTCTTACACATGGACTATCCAAATCCAATGCTTCCTGTTGCATCTTCAACAATAGATGTTACTGGTATGGTAAAGTCATTATTCTTTATAACAACTTGAAGGATTGTTTTGTAAAATTACTCAACTTTTTGTTGTATTATATATTTATACTTTTATTATGCTTACTAGTTTGGCAACATTGTTGATCCTATACAGCACTTATTTTGTAGTTATGTTTTTTTGCAGGCAATATAGATACTGTGACTAACTTCATAGATTTAGAGTCCTTGAGTGGTGTTATTAAGGAAGAGTGGAGACAAGTCAGACACACATTTAAAAAAATCAGCACATATCTTGTTTACAGTGAGGCACACATTAGGTTATTAGAACTATTAGTTTGTAAATTTTTTTTACGTCTATTGATTTATTTTATCTTTCCATGCAACAACTATTTGTATGACATTAACTTTTGTGCAATGTATGGTATTTTTTATATATGGTATTTTATTTTCTATTATGAGACATGAAATGCAAATTTAATTTGAAAATCAGTAAATCTATAAATAATTTTTTTTTTTTAAAAAATTTAAAATTACGATACGCAAAAATGTGTGTCGTCTTCATTTATGACATGGCCTTCTTGACAGGGGCTTCCTTCATACGCATTGCGTGTCATAAACACGCGCATCGTAAGGTTACGACACGCAAATGCATGTCATTTTTCTTTATGACAGGGCCTTCCTTGATACGCATTGCGTGTCATAACCGCGCGTCGTAAATGCGCGTCGTCTCTCTTTATGACAGGGCCTTCCTTGACGCGCATTTGCGCGTCGTCTGAGCGTTTTACGACGCGCAATGAGCTTCGTAAAAGGTTTTTTTCTAGTAGTGCGAGTACCATACGCTTCCGCAGTTGGCTCAATCATGTATGCTATGACTTGTACTCGCCCTGATGTAGCCTTTGCTTTGAGCATGGTCAGTAGATATCAAGGGAACCCTGGTAGAGCCTATTGGATTGTGGTGAAGAATATCTTTAAGTACCTTCGGAGGACCAAGGAATGGTTTTTAGTCCTTGGAGGGAGTGATGACTTGAAGGTGCGAGAGTATAATGATGCCAGTTTTCAGACCAACAGGGACAACTACCGTTCGCAGTCGGGCTGGGTCTTTACCCTGAATGGAGGAGCAGTAACTTGAAAAAGTTCCAAACAAGAAACCGTAGCTGATTCAACGTGCGAATCAGAGTACATTGCAGCAAGCGAAGCGTCGAAAAAGGCAATATGGTTAAAGAACTTCATTGGTGATCTTGGAGTTGTACCTACCATAAAGGAGCCCATGGAAATTTTCAGTGATAATGAAGGAGCGGTTGCCTTGACCAAGGAACCAAGGGATCATGGTAGATCTCGACACATCGACAAAAAATATCATTTTATAAGAAATCGTGTAGAAGAAGGACAACTAGTGGTGAAGAGGATATCATCAGAAGATAACCCAGCAGATCCGCTTAGGAAGGGACTGAATAGGGTTAAGCACTTGGAGCATGCTAGGATCATTGGGCTGAAGGATGATATTAGTATAGATTAGATAGTGTTAGAAATGCGTGATAGATAAATGTAATTAACATTTCATGATTAAATAAAGGAGTATTATTTATGAGTAATGTTACTGTCTTATGTTAATTGTTTAACTATTGTTTCACTTTGCATGTTTTGACTTCCAGAATAATTGAGTTAATTAAGAATAATCGAATTATTCAAATTGTCCACAATTGTTCATATGTTGGAAGTAGGTATGAATGAAGATTTTCATGAATTGGTGTGTAGATTGTCTAAATGGTATTAGACATAGCAAAAGTTTGCTGCAATGTTCATGAGTGCTTATGAACTAGTTTTGAGCACTGGAACAAACCCGCGCTTGCTAGAATCAGCTTATGGAATATGACAAAAGGGTGATCGCAAGACGATAATATCATATGGTCTTAAAACCTAGATATATGGTTTGTTATTTGTTAATTGGTTGTACGTTGATGGTGCGAAACCGCATCAGTAACTTGATGTTATAAAATGCATTATTGTGTATAGCTGGTTAATGAATAAATAAATGCATATAAGTTGAAGTTTATTTGTTACTTTTATCCTAAGAAGGTAAAAGCGATATCTTGGCCGCTCGATGATTTGATTTGACTTATGTGCAGGGCCCGGTCAGAACTAAATTGATGTGTTCAATTAAGTTCTATGTCGAATGAATCTGAAATCGAGAAACCAAATGCTAGACAAGTAGTTCCATTTGATTGTATGCATGATATCTATATAGAGAACTGTACGATCCCTTATCTAAAGGACAAAATTGATTAGATCAAAGTTTGACAGCGTCTTTGAGAGCTATGATTGCTAATCGGTATATATAGTTACTAGACTTATCCAAGTGGGAGACTGTTGGAATAGTGTCTAAGGCTACAACTATATTTGGTAAATACTTGACCCGATTGAGCATGGTCCTTTTGGGTTGCCTTCACCATAGCAACTTGATAGGATGATTTATAATGAGAGTTGAAATATTATATGGTATAATAATATTATTTGATTAATATAAGTCATAAATTAATTAGGAATTAATTTGGTGACTTAAAGAGATTAATTAAATAGAAGGGCTTAAACTGTCAAGTGTGTGATAGTTATACTTTAGGCTATAATCCCTTATGGATAATGGGGTGGAAAATTTTAGGGCTTAGGATAGACCTAAAATCCGTCCAAGTTTATCATGAAAGGGATTAGGATTGATTAGAGCTTAAGTTATCCAATTAGGGTTTAAAGGTGAAACCCTAGGAGCCTTACAAGTATAAATAGACCCTATGTGGTCATGGAAATCGGCACCCTTGTATCTAAAGGAACCCTGGCCGATTTCTAAGTCCCTCCCCACTCTCTCAAATCATCCTCTTGCTAGTTGGTGTTTGTAAGCCATTAGAGGAGTGACAATTGTGACTCTAAAGCTCCAAGAACAAGAAGATCAAATAAGTGATTCAAGGTAAACTTATAACTCTGATTTCTCAATGTTATTATGATAGAATAACCAATAGAAGTCTTGGATTCATGCATGTTCAATTAGAGAAACCTAGATCCAAGAATTAGGGTTTGTATGTGCACATAGGAATGTTCATATGGAAAAAACCCATCAAAAATTAATTATGACACATTTAAGCTTCGAATATAGGAAGTTATCAAATATCTGTGTGATATTGTGTGTTATGTTCGTCGTGGTGAAATATTAATAGAGGCATTGAAGAAGCTTGAAGATGTAGTGGACTGCGTAAGGTTTGTAGATTATGAGATGTCAACTGGTGGACCAATGCAGGTGTACATAGGCCAGTTTAATGATCTGCTATATTATTGGATACAATATGAAGTTGTAAAAGAAGATGGAGAAAACATTCAAATATTGTCTGATGAAGAATCTGAACAGGAGCATTCCCTCACATGTGATGACATTCCTTTCTTGCACACTCTTAAATATCATGTAAGCCCCCTTTCAACCACACTCTAAATGACAAATATTTGAGTAAAATGGTGATGGCTACTGAGGAGAAGGAGGAAATCAATAAATCCCAATTTGATACTCCAAATTTAGATAATAAGTAACCTTATTTTCCTATCTTTGATACTAACATACATTGGAAATACAAAAAATAGGGTTTGTTTATGCGTTTCGAATCACCAAAATATCTTAAGCTTATGTTCCAAAACTATGTTGTTGTATATGGTTATCCCATGTCGTTTCAAAAGAATAAGTATAATATGTTGTTAGTGAGATGTGGTAAATATGTTAATGAGAGTCTTTTGTCATCTTGGACTTGTGATAGTGAAGAGGCTTTCCAAATGAAGTCTCTGAATGCTACACATCATTGTTCTAGACAATTCAATATGTGCATCATTCCCCGTAGGAAAGAAACCAAGAGCTGGATTAAGGTAATATTCTAATTGGAAAATTAATATTTTAACCCAATCATTACCATTGGCGTTCATGGTTAGTCTTTATGTAGCCTTAATGAAACTTAATGCAAGACATGTTATTGTATGGAAAATATAATATCAAAGAGCCGAAATGAAACACTATTGATGCAAGGAAAAAGCCCATCATTACAATATTATAAGAGATCATGATCTGTGTGATGGAAAGACTATTTAGGATGAAGAAAAAAGGACTCAGATTCACTGGAAATCACTAACCTGCTACATTATAAAGGATAGATGAATTCAAGGTTCCCCAAAGGTACTTCATTTAACCTTCTTAATTAGTAAACCTATAAATTTTCATTTTTTTTAAAGCTCTTACGTGTT